AGAGCACCAGAGGTCGAGGCAGGCCTAAACCTGCCCTGCATTAGAGAGGGATGTTTTGCCCCGGGAAGAATCTTGGCTATGTCCATGGATTGTATTCAGATGAGACAATGCAAGCTGAGAGTTGGCAAAAGCTTGTTTTGTGCTGATGGTACTCTGATGGCAGGAGGCTTGCGGTGAAAGAGTTACGTCAGACTTTGGGTTTGTAGGTGGGCCACCAGTTGTCTATGCTGGTCTCTAATTTGTTGCCTTGCACAGAAGGCAAAGGCCACAGGGAGAAATTGGAGCTGGTGGCTGCCTTCTCGTTCTTTGGCAACGTCATGTCCATGGCCAGCGTGCAGCTTGCAGGGGCCAAAAGAGATGCGCTTCTGCTCAGCTTCAAGGACGCAAAGGTCAGTGGTGGCTGGGGGGGGAGGCAGAAAGAAGCAGGCTGTGGGGAGGGCTCTGTATGTGGAAGAGGGCTGGGGCAGCCCCAGGGGGCAACCACTCTTGCTCAGAAGGGATGACACGTGGGCCGTAGAGTCTTCTTAGAGAGCTCTGTCCACTCTGTCCCTAATTGGCTCCCAGTGATGGTTTTGCCTGGCAGAAATTTATTTATTTATTCAGTCAGTCAGTCAGTCAGTCCCTGCCCATCTCCCCTCAATGGTGTGACTCTTGAAGTTCTCACGTTACAGGAGAGCTCAGCTGCTTTTCAACCAGCTTCCCAAGCCGCTCTGGACCTCTACAACAGCTAAACAGAGTTTTTGTTTTGGGAAGAGAGAGCAGTAGAAGTACAGCAGTGCGACCTTGTTTAGATATAGATGCCATTTGGCTGCCTTAAAGTTACATTATTTTCTCTCTGACCCAACTGAAAAATAATTTAGTAAAACACCAGTCTGGAGGCTGTTTAGTCACCTGAGATGGTATCTGCTCTGCCCCATACAACTGGCCTGGGACAGTGGCAAGTTTGTGATAGTGTAGCCAAAGTTGCCCTTGGCTTGCTCAAGTCCGTGTGACCGAAGCCTTTCCCACAAAAACTTTGTGTAAAATGAAAACCTGTCCATCTTAAAACAGGATACTCCAAGTTCGAAGTCAGTTTGCGTCGTTCCATTGTATTTCAGCCGGATTGAGAAATGGCTGAGAGCGAAGGCCTAGGAACAGTGAGGGACTGGTAATGGTTTTGCTTCTAGTTAGTCATTGGAGCAAAAGGCCAGTGGGACTTTAGCCTCAGTCTTTAATTCCCTTTTTCCTGCCTCCCAGCTCTCGGTGGTTGAATACGATCCCGGCACCCACGATCTGAAAACACTTTCCCTTCATTACTTTGAGGAGCCGGAGCTGAGGGTAGGTGTCCAAAGGTTTACGATTGAATATCAAAAGTGCCCGTGGGAGGAATTTTTGCTCAGCCTCCTAGAATGAAGGGGGAGTGGCACTTAGAGTTGTTAGGCCCCAGGGGACTCGGGGGGGGGGGGGAGGGTGGGTCTTGGGGCGTGAGGGGCGCGGGGCGGCGGGGGGGGGGGGGGGGGGGGGGGGAAGCTGAACCTGTACGAGAGAGACAAGCTCCACTTGACCCAGAAGGGAGCCAGACTGCCCTCTGACTAGCTTGCTTCACGAACTGTGGCGCAGAGCCACCATTAGCAAGTGTTTAGGGTGGCATCTGTACCAAAGCAAAACTTCGTATTTCCTGGATCTATTGCAACTCTGTGCTCTAGCCAAGTGCAGTTAGTTTCCATGTATTGAGATGTAACGTAAGAGCCAGTCCAAAAGAGGGCAAAAGCCACAGTTTTTCGTCTGTCTCATGTGGCCCAGAATTCACTGCTTGCTCTATTTTTTTCCTCAGGATGGCTTTGTGCAGAATGTCCATATCCCCAAAGTGCGGGTGGATCCAGACGGGCGCTGTGCCGTGATGCTCATCTACGGCACACGGCTGGTGGTCCTGCCCTTCCGCAGAGATACCCTGACGGATGAGCACGAAGGCGTGGTGGGTGAAGGGTAAGGCCTGCTGAGAGAGCAGACATCCTAAATAACCAAGGGCTTGGAAGGATGACGTTCTTACAACTGCAAATATCAGGCCAAGGCCAAAGAATCTCCTTCTTCAGGTTTACTCCATGTAAAATCTAATTGAGCAAATCATAAAATCGTGGTGGTGCTAGAAATAGTGAGGTGGTAATACTGTAACATAAATGCCCATCGTGCTGTTCCCTTTTGGGATAAGCAGTGTTAGGCTAAGTATGGAAACAGAGTAAGCCGATAGCCACACCAAGAAATTAAACGCATGAGGAAGGGAAAAGAAAAGGAAGCTTAGCTAGAACTGGTTTACATCAGACGACACCTCTCCACCTCGCTGGACAAAGTTTAGGGCCATCTAACTATTGTGGCTGCCAGGAACTGTAGAGTGTTTATTTATTTAAGAGTTTATTTAATTAATAAATAAAAAAGTTTATTGACAATAAATAAATTGTTAGATCTGCTGGTCCACCAGTTTGTTGACTCCTTTCAGTCAGCTTTTCCATTCTCTTTGGAAAATGTGGAAGCTGGAGCCAGGCTGCTTTGGGGCGCTTCGGACTGAGTCTGGGTGCCTGTCTGTGGCCTGCCTCGGGCAGTCCCACCCTGTTTTCTCCCCAGAGAATCTCTGGGCCCCTGTTGATTCCTGTGCTCTTTCTTTGCAGCCAGAAGTCTAGTTTTCTGCCCAGCTATATCATCGATGTGCGGGAGCTGGACGAGAAGCTGCTGAACATAATTGACATGCAGTTCCTGTATGGCTACTATGAGCCCACCTTGCTCATCCTCTTTGAGCCCAACCAGACCTGGCCGGGGTGCGTTCTGGCTGCCTCCTCCCTGGCCGCTCGTGATTCTGCCTCGGCCAAGCTCTTTGGCTCTCAGCAAAGGCCCGCCGTGGTGCCCTTGCAGCAAGGGTGGGAGTCACTGAAAGGCTGTAGGATTAAAGATGCCTCTGTGTTAGTGGGTGTGGCCTGACACTCCGGGGATAGTCGCTGAAGCATCTTTTCCACTAATGCAAAATGGTCTTGTATGGTGCCTTTCATGACTGTCTATCGCTCTTTCAGTTGTAGATGGCTTTAATTATAACATGCCAACTTTTACCTGAATTCACTGGGGAGGGGGCTCAGCTCTGGAATCTAATCTGAATTTCAAAGCCCAGTCTTGATTGTATGAAAGGGAGGGAACCAACACTGGAGCATCGCAAAGTGTTTCCTCTCTGCGAAACAAGCATATGATGCTCCAACCCCTTTTTTCTTTAGATCTGAAATTGCCAGCAGCCATTCCCCATTCTCTCCCCTCACCATGTTTAGACTCATGAACATTCTTCCTCCTTTACATAGGATGGGAGCGTGAACTTGTCATTGTCTCTTGTTTCCCGCAGGCGGGTGGCTGTGCGCCAGGACACTTGCAGCATTGTGGCCATCTCCCTCAACATCATGCAGAAGGTCCATCCAGTCATTTGGTCCCTCAGCAACCTGCCCTTTGACTGCACGCAGGCCCTGGCAGTGCCCAAGCCCATTGGTGAGGGGAGTGGCCCTTCCCGGCCTCGGGTGGAAAGGCTGGTGCGGAGGTTGGCGTCTGCCTGTGTTGCAAACAGCCTTCCTCCAGATGTGTTGGGACTGCAGTGCCTCGGCTGGAAATTCCAGCTGTTGCATTTGCTGGGGGTGGGGGGACTGAACGGTGGCTGGAGATTGCAAGCAGCTTTGCAGGGAGGAACAGGATTTTGAAGGAGAACCATGAATGTTGTTATAACTCTGGGATGTGTAAGAAGGTAGTTACTGTCCTCCACCCCTCCTCTGCCTCTCTTCTTCTTCCCTTCCAGGAGGCGTGGTGATCTTTGCAGTGAACTCTCTGCTCTACCTGAACCAGAGCGTGCCGCCGTACGGCGTGTCTCTCAACAGCCTCACCAACGGCACCACCGTCTTCCCGCTAAGTACGTCTCTCTGCCTTTCCCCCTGGAGTGACCATTGGTGGATGCTCCTGGCTAGCTCTGGAGACAGAAACCTTTGTGAAAACTGCTTCCGTCCTTTCCAGATCAAGTCGAAGAGCCATTTCCGTTCAGCCCCTTTTCCTGCCCTCTTGTTTTCCTTCTCTGGTTAGATCAGGTGCTGGTCACCCAGTTCAAATGCCACGGCCAAACTAGGCCTGCTACTGCCTGCTGCTAAGGTTTCAAGTAATTTTACTTGCAAGAAACCTTTGGGGTTTACGGAGAGCACAATGGCATTTTTACACACTTTTCTTTGTAACCAGGGGTCAACATGCTTTTAAAAGATCTGTGCATAGCTGGCAATGCATGCAGATGCACACACGGGCACACACTATTTGCACACACCTACACGGAAAGCTGAGGTTTTCAGGTTCTACAATCCTGCCAGAGCCAGGAATCTATAAGTTTTTGCTGCAGACCCGAGGATGTAGTCTGACGGGCTATATTTGCCAAAGGGGGCAGCTGCTGCACTGTTCATAACTTGTCCCCCCCCCATGTCTTGCAGGGGTCCAAGAAGGAGTAAAAATCACTCTGGACTGTGCCCAGGCGACCTTCATCTCCTACGACAAAATGGTGATCTCGCTGAAAGGAGGGGAGATGTAAGGCTGGGGCTTGTCCTCCTGGGGCCAGAGGCAGTTGCCTGGGCAGAGCTTGGCGAGGCGGAGGGTCAGCGCTGGGCCTGGGTTGCCTGTTTCAGCTGGACAGCTTTCGCTTCTCTCCCGTAGTGTTAGGGGGCTGCTTTTGGGAGCCTCCGCAGGAAGGCTGCATCGGGGTTGGGAGGAAGAAAGCTGTCCCAGTAATGGAGCTGGGAGTGGGAAGGGGTTGACAAACTCCCTCTTGGCCAGAAGAAGGGAGCAGCTGATTCTGATCTTGCAGTCAAAAGCTTTGGGAAATGGACTTCTAAATTTCCCCAGGCTGCCCTCTTAGTGCAGAGAAGTAGACAAAGCAGGAAGTACTTCATCAGGGAAACAAAAACCTGAGGATGTTGGAGATATGGAGGCTTAAGGAACAAAGGAGGCTTTAAAATATCAGACAGGTTATTTGACTCCTTGCAGAAATTTGGAGAAGCTGAGTTTGCTGCTGTTCAGGGCAGCCCCTTCCACAGGCACTCCAGCGTGGGGGCAGTTCCTTCTCTGAACCACCCAGTGGTGGTCGGCATGGATGAAGTTTGAAGTGGAGCCTTCTCTTTTACGGTCTTTGCTGGACAACTTCTTACTACCTCCTCTTTAGGTGGCTTAATTCTTTTGCCTGAATATACTAGGGGCATTAGTCAACCCTTGAAGAGGGAGAAGTTGGTCTTCTCCATCTGCTGGCATGGTTGGAACATCAACAATCGGGAGGGTTCCTGGAATGATTGAGTCTCCTGCTCCACGCACACCAGTGCCAGTCCTGGCTGTATTTCTGCTCACCATGCTATGTCCTTGTGGAGCGTGAGCCGGTGATGGAGCAGAAGCTCTTTCGAAACCGCTGGTTCAGATGCCGTTCATTCTACTCATGAACCAGCAGCTCCCATCATCTGCTTCCGTTTCCTTTGCCAGCTACGTGCTCACCCTCATCACAGATGGAATGCGAAGTGTCCGCTCCTTCCATTTTGACAAGGCAGCGGCCAGCGTCCTCACCACGTGTGTAAGTGCCATTCAGCCAGGCAGGCAGTGACAAGCTGGGATAGGAGGGTGATTGATTGACTGGATGGATGGATGGGCCACTGGATAAGCAGCTGTGACATCTGAGCTATTTTATTCTGGTCAGCTGGAGGGCTCCCTACCATCTTGTCTGTCAACCCTCCGTTCTGGCCTAGTCCGACATTCCTCTTCCTCCCCCCTTTTTTGATCTCAGATGATTACCTTGGAACCTGGTTATCTTTTCCTGGGCTCTCGTCTTGGCAACTCCCTACTCCTGAAATACACTGAAAAGCTCCAGGAGGCCCCTATGAGTGTTGCAAAGGACTCCACAGAGAAGGTGAGGAGTTAATTGGGATCTTTCCATCCTCCACAGAAAGAGCTGAGCCCTACGTTTAAAGGCCAGGACAGTACAGGTATTCCTCACTTACTGACTGCCTCATTTAGCAACCATTCAAAGTTACAACAGTGTTAAAAAAAAAAACCCAGCTTTGCAACCAATCCTTGCATTTACGACCATTGCAACATCCCACAGTCACGTGAGCGCCATTTGGGCGCTTCACAACAGGCTTGCAATGAGCAGAGTTAATGGAGAAGCCTGCAGTAAAATCGTAAGTCCCAGTCATGTGATGTTTTGCTTAGTGACTGTGGTGATTCGCTTAATGACTGAATGGGAAGTGACATTGTAAGTCTGTCGCAGTCATGTGATTTTCTGCTTAGCAGTTGTGACACTTAGCAACAGAGTTGCCAGTCCCAACTGTGGTCACGAAGCGAGGACTACCTGCGTACGCTCCAGTGTGGTGGCTTAGCAGTATCCCCAGAATTAATCAGTGCAACCGAAAATATGGGTGCTGAGGGATCTGGGGAAGGTAAAAGGAAAGGGAGGCAGTGCCTGGGTTTGGCTAGATGGTGGGGGTGACTATTTTACCCCCCTCCTCCCATGAATGCCCCTGTTAGAGAGACCTGTTCACAGAAGAGTTGAGAGAGTTCCGCACTGGGAGCTTTCCCTGATGGGACAGGCCTTGGGCTTCTAGGAGGAGCAGACGTGGGAGCGTTTGTGGGTCTCTCGCATCTGCTCACCAGTACACAGCTCTGTTTGATTTACAGGAGGAACCTCCCCTCAAGAAGAAACGCGTGGAGCAATCTGCCAACTGGGCTGGTGGGTGTCCTGGTTCTCAGCAAGGGGGGCTGAGGAAGGCACCGACACTCTGTAGGGCCTTGGGCGAAGAGGTCCTGTCTTGGGTACATCTTGCAAATGAGCCAGTGCACTTGGCATAATGCCTTCTGCCTCTGTGGTCAGTTTTCTGGTCCTTCCTTCCTTCCCTCCCTCCCTCCCACCCTTCCCTTCCCCCACCTCAAGTGGGTCTTCTGATTCCTTCTGTTGACAGATGGGCGGATGGGGGGGAAATGGGGGTCCTTCATCAGCCTCGCCCATGCTGATATCTGAGAGGCTTGTGACAGCGCTCCGCTCGGCCTACCAAGAGCTCCCTGCCCAGAAGGTCTACCGCATGTCTTTCTCGCAACCCCAAAGCTCCTTCCATCCCTGGTTTGGTGGGAAGCAAGTGGGAATAACGAACGAGGAGGGAGTGCTTGGGGAAAAGAGGGGAAGGGGCTAGAAGTCAGGACAGCAGGACAAGGCAGGACCCCTGAGGCTGTAGCTCCATACTTCCCAACCCATCTTGTGCAGGAGGGAAGTCGGCTCCGCAGGATGAAGTGGACGAGATCGAAGTGTATGGCAGTGAGGCCCAGTCTGGGACGCAGCTGGCCACCTACTCTTTTGAGGTACCTCTGCCTTGGTTTTCCTGGGAAGGAGAGTCTTGCAGCACCCAGAGGGTCACCCAACACTCCCTGAGCCTTCCCAAACCGGAGTGGCATTTCAGACAAGGGCTTTTCATTGCAAAGCACCCCCTGAAAGAGGGCTCCCTCCCAGCACTGAAGACTGGGTGGCTCTGCCAAGCTTCAAGTAGTTTTAAGTAGGATTTTCTGATTCCTTTCTGTAACCAGGGTTCCTTAGGATGATATTATTTTATAGGATTGGTATATTTTTCTCTGTTTGATATCACTTAATGCAACCGTTGCCAAAAGGCAGGATATAAATATGTCTAATATAGCAGTACAGGTGATCCTTGGTTAACGACCATTTGTTCAGCAATCATTCAAACTTGTGACAGTGCTGAATGAGTGGTACTTACAACTGGCCCTCGAAGTTCCAGCCGTCTCAGTGTCTCTGCGGTCACGATTGCAATCCAGGTGCTTTAGCTGGCCTGGATTTCTGACCATCGCAGCATCCTGCAAGGAATATCTGTAATTGATTTGAAGTCCTTTTTTCTTCCCTGAGCTAGAGTTTCACTACAGTGAGGGGTGCAGAGGGTCCCTTCTTGCTTTCCTGAGATAGAAAAAGTGGTGCATACCCACCTCTTTTCTTGGTTAATCAGAAAGTTGCAGGTGAGCTGATGCTTCTCTCTTCTCTTCCGAAAGGTCTGTGATAGTATCCTGAACATCGGCCCCTGTGCCAACGCTGCCATGGGGGAACCTGCCTTTCTCTCCGAGGAGGTGTGTGCTCTGTTTCTCTCCTCCTCTGAGCCTCACATGGATGCCACCAATTTGCTTCCTTCAGGAGTGGGAGGTGGGCCACCATCTGGTGCCTGAAGAAAAGGCCCCTTGGGGGGAAAAATATTAAGAAAATTTCCTTAAGATAATTGCAGAGCAATTCTTGGGGAAACGAGGGAGTCCTGCTGTGCAAAACCTACAAGGCAGGCAACCTAAGTATGGCTCCCTCTTTCTCTCTCTCTCCTTCCAGTTCCAGAATAGTCCTGAACCTGACCTGGAAATCGTGGTGTGCTCGGGCTATGGCAAGAATGGCGCCCTCTCGGTCTTGCAGGTGAGGGGTTGCGCAGCTGGGGAGTGCCGTGCAGACCTGTGCCAGGGAGGAGAGTCAGTTGCTAAGGCCCCATTAGCAGCACAGTCTAGAGCCGCCCCAGAGAACGCTGGAGCAGCCTATAAGCTCTTAAGGGTAGGGGTGGGGGGTGACCCCTGAAGGGCCATGGGGTAGCTTTCCTCTGATGAGCCTCGGGTTCGTATGTTTCACTCAGGGCTTGAAAGCTTTTGACATTCCACACCAAAAAGTCCACTGTTTTAGTGTGCAGAATAAATTCTGAAAAGCTGTTGTTCAGCTCTTTGCTTATCCCCTGCATTTGGAATTTAAAAGAACTTTTAGAAGTATTTGAAGAAGAAAGAGGGATCTGTAAGGAATGGATGCCGAAGATGTGTAGAAAGTAACTGGACATCTCAAGAGTAGGGGGAATATCTTATCCAGCATTGTGGTGTATAGACTTCCATGGAACTAGAGATTTCTCCCCTACCCATCTCTTGTATTGCCATTAAACTGAGCTTTTTCACAACCTCGCTTTCTTATTTTGTTAGGTTTTAAAGGAATCTATTCTGAGGATTGCTTGGTTTAAAATTCCAGGTGGTGAATTCAAAGAGGGGATTTAATTGGACTCCTAGTTACAAGTGAGGGAATCTACAGGACCTCCAAAGCTCCTTCCACCTTTGGTGGCTTCTGAAGCCAGAATGAAATCCTTAAAACAATAAATATCCCGAAATAAAATTTAAGAAGTCTCACTCCTATGCGGGAAGCATTTCTGAAGAGCTTTTATGTTCTCTTCTGGAAAATGGAGGTGCTGGACTCCAATGTCTCCCCCTTCCTTCCAGAAAAGCATCCGTCCTCAGGTGGTCACAACCTTTGAACTCCCAGGCTGCTACGACATGTGGACTGTGATATCGCCCCGGAAGACGGAGGAGGCCACCGTATGTCCAGCCTTTGTCCTTGGGGGTTCACAGAGGGGTGCGAAGTCATTGTCTTCTGCAGCTGAGGGCGCTCCTTCCCACTGCCAACTGAGGAGGCGGACCCCAGTGGTGCCCCTTGCTCCTTGCAGGTTTCCAGGACAGGACCTGGGCTGGCTACCCCAGCCTGGGCCTGTCCAGGAGTTTTGGGCTAGAAATGTTTGGGTTTTGGGCAGCCGCATCCCCCAAGCCATGGAGAGAGAAGATTCTTGGCCCAGCGCTCCTGCGGCCTGTTGCTGAAGCTTAAAGGACAGGAGAGGGTGGGCAGAGAGGCACTTTACCTGTCTCTGGCTGCATGGCTGGTGAGAAAAAGAGCAGAGTTCTGTTGGGCCAGGCTAGCGACCCCTTCACATCCAGGAGGCCTCCAGAGAGCCCTAAAGCAAGTTTGAAGCCGATTTGGTACTCTGATTCTCACTAATTTCGCATCCCCCACGAATGTTGCCCCCTCTGTCTGCAGCGGCCTCTACCAGGCACAAAGATTGGGGCCTTTACTGTTTTTTTGTGGGGTCTTGCTATACAGTGACCTTGTATGTATGGGGAGACCGTGTCAGTATGGGGCTCCATCTTGGGGTGGGGTCTGTATCCTGACAACATCCTCCATGTCAGCCTCCCTTCCTAGCAGGAAGAAGATACTCAGGAAGAAAGTGCTGAGAAGGAGCCCTCCCCACCTGAGCCGGCAGATGACGGGAAGCGACACGGGTTCCTCATCCTGAGCCGTGAAGACTCCACCATGGTGGGTGCTTATCTGTAGTTCGGTGGCGTGGCCTGGCCTGGCCTGGCCTGGCGGGCATCAGCTTTCTGAGATGCCACTTGGCCCAGTACTGAGCATGTCTCTGTCTCAAGAGGTTCTGGGTAGCCCAGGGATCCATCCTGGGCAGGTGAGGGGTGACTTAAGGATGTCAGCAGAAATGGCAAACAGAGGACTGAGTTGCGAGCGTGTGAGATGACTCTTGGCTAGTAGTTTGCTTTTGTGGAGAAGCAGCACCTGCAAGAGTTGCTTGCCACGCCCCTTTTCCTGCAGGGACCGTTGCTCTCTGGCCTGGCTCTCAGCTGGGAATATTTGCCCTCAGTTTTATTCTGATCCTCTCTCTGCCTTGGCTTTGGCTCCCTCAGATCTTGCAGACTGGCCAGGAGATCATGGAGCTTGACACCAGCGGCTTTGCCACTCAGGGCCCCACCGTGTATTCTGGCAACATTGGCGAGAACCGCTACATCGTCCAAGTGTCCCCTCTGGGTATCCGCCTGCTGGAAGGAGGTGAGTGCAAAAACGCTAGCTGGCTCACCTTTCCGGTGGTTCCATTTTGGAAGTTCAGTAACTCAGGGATAGAGGAGGAAATGGGAAAGACAGTTCCATGCCCTAATTTGGATAGCGCCACAAAGTTGGCACGAGGAGTGTGCCTTGTTTCTCTCGGGGCTGAAGCATGGCAGGTCCATGGATTTCTCAACTGTCTATGCCTCTTTCCCCAGTGAACCAGCTGCACTTTATCCCCGTGGACCTTGGCTCGCCCATTGTGCACTGCGCCGTGGCTGATCCCTACGTGGTGATCATGAGCTCTGAGGGGCAGGTGACCATGTTCGTGCTAAAGAGTGACACCTACGGGGGCCGGACGCACCGCCTCACCTTACAGAAGCCGCAGTTGCACCACGTGAGTGAGGCTCTGAGGAGTGTCCAGTCTTGTGCCATGAGAACGAATAGTCCCAAGATCATTGAAAAGGTCCCTGAAGCAGCAGCTTCTGGACCACGTGATGGATCAGTTTGGACATGCTTAAGAGCATCTGGGCTTTGAGGGATCTCTCTGGATTCCTGTTGGCTGGCAGAAGCAACATCATTTGTGTGCAGTTCAATCACGTTTGCTTGGTTTCCTTATTGAGGGTTCAGATCTGGGTGCTTAAGCATGGAGAATGTGCAGCTTGTTTGGGTCTGAGGTGACTTACCTTTGGGAGGTCGGTTGTGGGAGTGCTCAGTGTTAAGGACCGTTTGGATTGCATGTCTGAAGGGGTGCGCTGGCAGATGTAGCCTAATTGGGAGGAAAGCGGAGGGTCTCCTTTCACCCACTCTCCCTGCTTGGGATCTGCACATCTTGGCTGTGGCTTGGCTAGCCCTTCTCTCATCTCCCTTCCCAGCAATCGAGGGTGATTGCCCTGTGCGTGTACCGGGATGTTAGTGGGATGTTCACCACCGAGAGCCATTCGTCCAGCTCTCGAGATGAGCTTTCCCTGAGGAGCCAGTCTGAGACAGAGACCCCCATCCAGGACATCAGGTGGGGCAGTGCCTGCAGAGGAACTCTCCGGGGAGGAAAGGGGGCGCGGGGAGGTTCCAGTCTCTTAAAGCAACAAGAAAACTCCTCTTGGCCTGTGCCCCCTCCCCCGGTCTCTCTGGGGCCCTTATTCAACCCTCTCCAATTGAGGCAAACCCTGCTGTTATTTGGGAATCAAGAGACATAAAAGCGTTGAGACCTGTAGAAACCGGTGTGACTGGATCTCCATGGTCTTGTTCTCGTAGCCGAGGGGGACGGGTTAAATTCAGCATAGGCCCCCAGAAATGAGCTTCCTCTGCTCCTTCTCTTTCACCCTATGCAGCAACACGGTGGACGATGAAGAGGAGATGCTGTACGGGGACTCCAGCGCTCTGTTCAGTCCCACCAAGGAGGAGCCACGGCGCTGCAGCCTGCCCTCGGCTGACCGGGACTCCCACCAGTACAAGGCAGAGCCAACCCACTGGTGTGTGCTGGTCCGGGAGAACGGTGCCATGGAGGTAGGCCTGTTTCTCGTGCCAGAAGCACGCAGTTCCGCATCGTGTCTCTGCTGCTCCTCCCAGTGCTCTCTTTTTCCTGACAGATCTACCAGTTGCCCGACTGGCGCCTGGTCTTTCTGGTGAAGAATTTCCCCATGGGGCAGCGGGTCCTGGTAGACAGCTCCTTTGGACAGCCAGCCAGCCAGGGAGAAGTCAAGAAGGAGGAAGTCATCCGCCAGACCGAGATGCCGCTGGTCAAGGAGGTCCTGCTGGTGGCCCTCGGAAATCGGCAAAGCCGGCCATACCTCTTGGTGAGCTTCCGGGTAACCTGCACCCGGGATCCCAGCAGTGGTCAGGGCCAAGGGAGACTTGAATTCTCCCATAAAAGCCAGATGGGACGTTAGGTCCAGTAGACCAACCAGCCGCTTCCGTGAAGCAGTGGTCTCACCAAAGGAGCGTGTGGGGTCAGTAAAGAGAATGACCTTAACAGAGAGGCAGCAAGGAGATAAACACTGCAGAAACCCAGACGAGGGTGGGTTATGGAAACCTCTCAGCCAGGCACCCTCCTAATTCACAGGAACATAAAAGAGGGAGGAGACTCGCAAGATTCTGTTACTGTAGCCCAGTGTTTTTCAACCTTGAGAACTTTGAGATGGGTGGACTTCAACTCCCAGAATTCCCCAGCCAGTTCTGATCACGCTTTGAAATTATTTTTTTTTTTAAATCAGGAACCCCTTTACAAATCTTGGTGCATCAGCTGGTATTTAAACCCCAGTTCTGCTGTTAATATACAAAGGCGTTTGGAAAGGAGAGTAGAACGGCCAGTCTTGTAGAGAAGCAATAGAGGAGGATCCAGGAGCTGTATTGAGTCTCTTCCTGGCTGGCTTTCTTCTCCGCATCAGTCATTGGGGAATGGAGGTGGGGGAGGCTTAGGGTTTGGTAGTTGGGTCACCACAGCCTGCCGCCCAGATTTGGGCATTGGGAGCCACTCGGACGGAGTGACCGTCAGCTGATTTCCAAATCCTGTTGCCAGGTCCATGTGGATCAAGAGCTGCTCATCTATGAGGCCTTTAACCACGACTCTCAGCTGGGCCAGACCAACCTCAAAGTGCGATTCAAAAAGGTAACCTTTCCAACTGTGACACTCGGTCTTCTGAGTCAGCGAGAGACAGAGTGCAATCACCCTGTTCCTCTGTGTCTAAAGCAATGTTTCTTAACCTTGGCAACTCTAAGATGTGTGGACTTCAACTCCCAGAATTCCCCTGCCAGCCATGTTCTGGGGTGAAGTCCATACTTCTTAGAGTTGCCAAGGTTGAGAACCACTGGTCTAAAGTATTGTGTTACCAGGGAAAGAACAGATCAGAGGGACAGCAGGTGATCCCACCCTTCCACCTGTCTTGAGGTGCTGCAGGCCATCCTCCCACCCTTCTTTCTTTCCCACTTGCTGCCTTGACTCACTTGGTCTCTTCCAACCAGGTTCCCCACAACATTAACTTCCGGGAAAAGAAGTCCCGGCCATCCAAAAAGAAGTCTGAGAGCGCAGGGGGCGAGGAAGCGGGGGCTCCCCGGGGGCGGGTCGCTCGCTTCCGCTACTTTGAAGATATCTACGGCTACTCAGGGGTGAGTGAGGAGTTCAGGGGGGCAGGAGAACTGGCCAGGAGAGGCCTCTTGTGTTTCCCTGAAGAGCAGCTGAGGCCAGAGTGTTGGGGGTCTCCTGGCAGGGATGGTCAGTGGAAGAGCCGCTGAATAGGATCCCAAAGAGTAGGGGGTGGTGGGACCTTTTTGTGCAGAGGCCTGGAGGGTGGGGCCTCTAACCAGAAATCGTTAGAGAAGGCTAATCTGGAGACCCAGTTCCTCGTGCATCCATGTTTCTTCTAGGTGTTCATCTGTGGGCCCTCGCCACATTGGCTGCTGGTGACGTCTCGTGGGGCCCTGCGCTTGCACCCCATGACCATAGATGGCCCCATTGAGTCCTTTGCCCCCTTTCACAACGTCAACTGCCCCAAGGGCTTCCTCTACTTCAACCGGCAGGTAAGCCAGACCCAGGGTTAGAACTGGGAGGATCCCCCTGGTTGGACGACCTGCCCCTCTGAGTTACTTGGAGCCATTCCAGAACCTGGAAGAGGGAGGCTTTGACTGTGTTCTGCCGTGCAGGGGGAGCTGCGCATCAGCGTCTTGCCCGCCTACCTTTCTTATGATGCGCCTTGGCCTGTCCGGAAGATTCCACTGCGCTGCACCGCACACTACGTGGCGTACCACGTGGAGTCCAAGGTAGGGCTGGGTGCTGCACGTGATGCTAGACTGATTTGGGAACAGGGTGGCCCTGGGTGGGATGTCCCAGGCCTTCTCCTGGTGGCCAGGGTGGCCAGGAAGGACTGTGTGGGTGGAGCACTCCCCACGGACTCACCTCTCTGCCCTCTGCCTGAACGAACTCCCGCTTCTGGATAGGTGTATGCCGTGGCCACCAGCATCAACAACGCTTGCACCCGCATCCCCCGCATGACAGGAGAGGAGAAGGAGTTTGAGACGATTGAGAGAGGTGGGTGTGCCTGTGGCTGATGCGTGACGTCCTCTGGCCAGGGGCCTTCCTCCCGGAAGCTCTGCCCAAGCTGAAGATGCCCTCTGGAGCAAGTCGCTTCTGCTCCTGCCCAAGAGGGAGGCTTTGTGGCAAGAGCAGGGAAAGAGGTGTGCCGGGCTGCCTTGGAAGAGGAACCCCCTTAGCCGTGGGCGGGAGCAGCAGAGGCTCCCTTAAACTAGGCAGGAACGGGTGGGTTTCTGCACAGGTGGGTTTCTGGTTCTCCTTGTTGGCTGCGTCAAGGCCACATTCTTAATCCAGTCATGATTTCCTCCTTCCTGCTGCATTGGACAGAGGCAGTCCGACTTGCCAGGTGGAGGGCTGCTCTTTGGGGAAGCGCAAACTCCCTGCCCCCTTCCTCCAGTCCAGTCTCCTCGCACTCTATGGTCGCCAGAGCTTGGCAGCAGGCTTTGCACAGTGGAGGAGTGTGTTCTCAGCTGCTCTACAACTATATCTTTTTTGCTTGGAGGACTAAGTTGGCAGCGCTTGGACTCAACCCCACCGCTGACTGGGTCTCTGGGTTTGGGCAACACAGCTGGCCAGGCCAGGCGGGGGAGTCGTTTTGGGTGAAAGCTCCCCTTCTTTTGCTCTGGTGCTGACTGGGTTAGTGGGTTCGCACAGCTCCCAGGAATCTTAATTGATTGGATTGGGCTGTATTGTGCAACCCACCCGTATCCTTTGAAGTGACGGTGCTCCAGGGATCTTGCCCAGCACCTTCTGTGTCCAAGGGAGGGCCTCTTTTATGGAGCTCTGGAGCTGAATCTCCCCCCGCCTCCCTCTTGAAGAGGGGCCAGTAGCCGGACAGCCCTCTTCCTTCTGTTCTGCAGACGATCGCTACATGCACCCTCTGCAGGAAGCCTTTTCTATTCAGCTGATCTCTCCAGTCAGCTGGGAGACTATCCCTAACACCAGGTGAGAGGAGGGGGCGAGGACCCTCGATGAAGCCATGGAGGATCTTGTGGGGAGGGCGATGGTTTCGTGGGCAGAGCTCAGAAGGCGGATCAGAGCTGGTCCAGTGGCCCCCGTCCCCTTCGGGCAGTCCAGATTCTCTCCAGAAGCCCCAAGGGAGCTTGTAGGGTCATCCTCTGAGACTGGCAGACATGCCTCTCTGCCAAAAGGAGCGGCCCGCAGAGAGAAGGGCAGCTTAGCACCCCAGTTTTGGAGGAGCAGACGCAAATCAGGCTTCCCCACGCCATCTTCCACTCACCTGATCTGCAGGATTGACTTGGAGGAATGGGAACACGTGACCTGCATGAAGACGGTGTCTCTGAAGAGCGAGGAAACGGTCTCCGGCTTGAAGGGCTACGTTGCCATCGGGACTTGCCTCATGCAGGGCGAAGAAGTGACTTGCAGGGGCCGGGTGAGTTGCCTCCTCGCTGGTCTGTGAAGCTCTTCCCTGCTCCTTCCAGTGTTCTGGTCCCTGCTCCAATCCCCGGTTGTGTGTCCCACACCCCAGATGCTGGGCACATAATCGTTGAACTGTAGAGTTCGGAGGTGTCTTACATATCACCTCGGCCATCCCTGCTCAGGGCAGGATCCACTAGACCAGTGTTGCTCAGCCTTGGCCACTTGAAGACATGTGGACTTCAACTCTGGCTGGGGAATTCTGGGAGTTGAAGTCCACACGTCCTCAAGTGGCCAAGGCTGAGCAACACTGCTATAGACCCTCTCTGATAAATGAGCCTTCAGCCTCAGGCTTCCTTGAGTCGCAACTGCAGGAGGTGGTATGGACCCCCCTGTGCCATTTTCGGGGCAGCAACTGTTTTTCATGGCCTTCTGACTTTGCAGTCTAGTCTGATTCCCTGATGCTCTCCAAGTGCAAGTACTAACAATTCTACTCTGGTTAGTTTTTGAGGTCCACCCAGGTTGGCTTGGGCCCTTCATTCACTCTTGTTATGAAATGCTGCCTTTCCCGACAATGTCATATCCCTTGCTTGGGAGAGGAGTCTTGTGGTGGTGGGTGAAGGTTGGGCAGCCCCAGCACACTAGGGTTCCGACTTCAGAAATGGTGCTTGGCAGTCTTGTGCAGCGTCTTGCCCCTGGATAGGCTCTTGCATCTGCTGGGGGCTGAAGCCCTCCAGAATAGAAGCCACCTCACTCCCTGCAAGGAAGCAGAAACTCAAATGTTCAGTGACTGAAGTTGTGACATCCTCATCTTGAACAGGGTGAGGGTTAGGGTGCTGGCTCCTTTGAAAGGAAAATACTACCCACTTAGCCAGGATGCCAGTAACGTGTGTCTCCTTGGGAGCGTTCCAGATTCAGAGAATCCGAGGTGGGAGGGGCCTTGAGGCCATCCAGTCCACCCCTTGCCTTGTGTTGAAACCCACAATAAAGCACCCCAGACAGATGTTTGTCCAGGCTCTGCTTGAACACCAACGGAAGGGCGATCACTTCTCCTGCTGAACTGTTCTTATGTGTAAGAAGTTTTTTCTGATGTTCAGTTGGAAGCTGCTCCTGAATATTGGAAGACCGTTGTTCCATGTCTTGCCTCTGGAACAGGAGGGAACGAGTCTTCCCCGTCTTCTGTGTGATGGCCTTTCAAGAGGTCGGAGGGTGTGATCCCACCTCTGCTCCCAATCATGCACGAGGCTCCTGCAGTCTCCCTCCCTGGAACGTCATTTCTAGCACCGGGATCACCCTCGCACCCCTTCTCTGCTCCAGGGCCCAAAAGCTTCCTAAACTGGGTGCACAGAACAGGATACAGTACTTCACGGGAGCCTGAGTCAAGCAGGACAAAGTGGAAGAATTGCTTCCAGGGATGTGCAGATATGCTTCTATTAAAGCGCGCACCCTCTTTGGCAGGCGCATCACCCCTGCTGGCTCGTGCTCGGTTTGCAGTCCGCTGCTCTTCCAGGACTTTTCCCACAAGAATCGCTACAGCAGGGTTCCTCAACCTCAGCAACTTTAAGAGGGGTGGACTTCAACTCCCAGAATTCCC